AGGGGTCCAAGATTATCTTCTGTGTCTGTGTTAATTGGTTTCCCTTTTCTTTGCTGAAGAGGGTCTGTGCAATCCTTCTGCCTAGTCCGCCATCTTGCTGGAACCCCCCTTATTCGTGTTTTTCCTTGCACAGAATTTTAAAATATTAGTTATTGAAAAAATAAACTGGAAACAATGAAAACATTGCTAAAGGAGTGGTGCATAAATGTGGAGTTAAAAAGTAAATTATTATCTAACCACAATTTAGAGCACTATCCCAGAAAGAGGTAGACCTATCTGAATTACAGTGAAAGGTCTCCAAGACTATTTTGTAATATGGGAGTTTAGTTCAAACAGTGCAAGTTGCTGAACAGTATATAAGTGTGAACTAAAGTATGTTTTTAAAAAGTAGTATTATGAAGGTGTACATATATGTTTACATCTATGTATTTAAATGCAGGAAAAGGGACAAGAGTCCCACCTACTTTTAATGTATAGTGTGTGTGTGCTTGTTTGTGTTGTGTATGACTTATATTTAATTTATATTTCTTTAATACTTGGTCCTTTTTCAGTGAGGTCAAAGATTTATCAGTACCTTAGATTATTGTGCAGCTGTTAAAAAATAAGCATAAAGAATAGCAACATGAAAAAATTAATTTTCTTATATTAAGAGATTTCACAGGACATTTAGATGGTATGAAAAATGGAAAAATCGAACAAACAAAAAGAACTTCAAAACAGGGGCTTCCACCTGGTTCGTGTCTGATTCATCCTGCTAAAATTTGCATTTCCATACCAGATATACAGAATAAGAATCTACATTTTAATGTTAAGAAGCTCTGTTCAAAACTGCCTGTAATTATACCATCCAGAGATAATGACTCCTAACATGTTGGTATACAGACTCCCAGTTTTTCATGAGGTTCTTTTGTTCACACTATAATGTATCCAGACAGTACAAAATCTCTCTGTTGTAATATCCTTTTTTAAAAGTGCTATGATGAGAATTACGAAAATGTCCTCCAAGTCAGAAAAAGAAAGTTGGTAAATCATTGTTATTGTGCTTGGAGCTTTCCCCTTTAAACAATAACAGCTTAAATTCTATGATGTACAGTGATTATCTCTTTGGAGCGGGGACCTGAGATGATTTTTCTTAATCATTTTTTTAGAACTTTAAAGTGTTTATGATAAAAATTTTAGTTTTATAATCAGAAAAAAATAAATGTTATGTAAAGCTATTTGTAATGTGATTATTGGGAATAGATTTCATGTTTACACCCCAAGCCCTTTCATCCTCTGAGAGAGGAAAGGCACGTTCCTTGAGATAGACTGGCAGCTACCTGGGCACTGGCAAAATTGGCACATGGGCTAATTGACATCCAGGCAAGCCTCTGCTTGGTGCTAACAATGTTTTCTGATTTCAGACAGTACTCATCCTAACCCTGGGAATAAACTTAGAAGAAGCTTTTGAAACGTAAAGATTAGATGGGGCTTGACCTCTGCTGGGCAGCCCCCAGCTATAGAAGTTCCCAGCTGAGCAGAGATGACTGCAGAATTGAGAGAGGCTGTGGCCCTGGCCCCTTGGGGTCCAGTGACAGTGAAAAAGGAGGAAGAGGAGGAAACTCTCCTGGGTCAGGCATCCACCCAGCAACTGCACTCTGACAACATCAAAGTCTGGGCTCTTGAGAAGGGTCCTCAGATGGGCCTTGATGGATCAGAACAGGAAGAAAAGGTAAATGGTGGCCTGGGAGGAAGGAGGGAAGATAGGCCTAAAGACAGCCTTGCATGGTTTTAAGGAAACTTTGCTTACCCATCTGGAGTCTTGTTTCCTGGTGAGGATTCTGGCCTTTAGTTCTTTGGCGTATAATAGAAAGTTCCTTTTTGATTGATTTGACATTCAGTATTTCCTTTAAATCTGTAGTTCTCAAACTTTGCTGATTAGTAGAATTAACAGAAAAGCTTTTTATAAATCCTGATACCTGTGCTGGGAGTCCCTGGGTGGCCCAAATGGTTAAGTGCTGGGCTGGCTACAAACTGAAAAGTTGGTGTTTCAAACCCACCCAGAAACACTGTAGAAGAAAGGCCTGATACTCTGCTTCCAAAACGCACAGCCATGAAGACACAGTAGAATGCAGTTCTACCCTGCAACACATGGGGTCATCATGAGTCAGAATTGATGAGAAGGCATCTGGGTTTTTGGTTTAGATGCCCATGCCTTATCCCTTCCAGTTAAATCAGAATCTGGGACCCAGGCATCTGTAGTTTTGAAAGCTGTTTGGGTGGTTCCAGTCAGCATTTGACAGCTCTGAGCAGTGCTTCTCAAACTGTAACAGGCATAGAATCACCTATTCCTATAGCTAATCCTATTCAACCCTCACACCTGGGTATCTTGTTAAAATGCAGATTTTGATTCAGGAGGTCAGAGGTGTGGCCTGAGAGTGCATTTTTCATAAGCTCCTGGTGATGCTGATGCTACAGATCCATGGACCACTCTCTGGGTAACGAGGCTGTAAATTCTGCTGTGGTCCTTAAGTATTTTCAAACTAGCACTTCCAAAGGGTTCATTCTGGTCCAGCCCCCCTGCTGAGAATTTGCATTTCCACCCAGTATTCATTGAATCAGAATCTGCATTTTTAACTTGATTCCCTACATGATTTTTATGTTACCCATAATAATTTGTATAACAACATGTATGCAAATTCTCAGAAGGAGGTCAGACCAGAATGACCTGGTTTGAAGCCCTATATCAAACACACCTCTTATTGTCACTAGCCAAATGATGGCAAGGGTTCCCAAGTGCCTCTGTAATTATAGGATCAGAACCTTGTTTCTTTGATTCTTTAGACCCCTGAAAAGTCTGTTCTTTGGAAAAATCTTCCCAGGGGTTTTCTTGTCATGTAACCACTGGCAAGTTAGATATGCATGTTGGAGTGGACAATGAAGTAAAATCAAAGTGATAGAGAAGAAGGTGTCGGGCTTACTTCTCTGCCCAACTCATCTTTGGGATTGGAGGAATCTGGCTTCCTTTTCCTGTCCTTTTCTTTTATGTTTTGTGGCTTCCAGGAATAAGTACCTGTGTTCTTATCCTCAAAGCTGTGGTTCCTGTAATCACCCCCTAGCATCACCACCACCAGTTGCCTCATAAACCCACCTGTGCTGCTTGTCTCCAGGGTCAGAACATGTTCTGGGACATGGCAGTAATCCTGAAAACAACACAGAACACGCCTGCTGGTTCACCCCTTGGCACCTACTCATTACCTGGGACTCACAGGGTGCCTACTCAGGGGATCATGGCCAAGAATGAGATACTGGAGACTCATGGAGACATGAATACTCTAGGTAGGTTCAATCCTCTGATTCAGAATCTGACCACTGGGATTTCTCAGAGGCTGTGGGGGCTTAGTCTCCTAGTTTGAGCAACAGGGGGTCTTGAGGTATTAGAAGTGTCAAGGATAGCAGGATAGTGGAATGCTGAGAGATGCCTATGCATTTATCAAGGGAAACATCTTATTTTGCACACAGTCTTAAGACACCAGATAAATCCTGGTGTACTCGAGGTTCACCTTTTTATTTCATTATTGTTCGTCAGGCATCATATCTACTCACACTTGTAGACATATGTTCCCTTCATATGTTTTGTGGTGGCCATAGATTGGTGAGCCTACAAGAGAAATTAGCTAAGGTAGAATGGGTCAGCTTTTGTGGTGATTTTGAAGAAATGCTTTGGAGATGTTCTGTTTCTATAGATTATTTGTGCAAATTTTAAATGATTTTGAGGGGCTGTGTCAGCCATAATGATGTTCAAAACTATGTCTATATGGCAAATATTGATAGCTTACCACCTGGTTCTCTCTAAGCTGAGACTCAGAAAAGAGATATTCTGTACGTCTAATTAGCAGTGGTAGAAACTTGCCTTGGGAAGAGTAACATGTAATCATGGGTTAAGAATGCAGTAACACTGACCCCTGTGTTGCAGAAGTAGTTAGCTGATTGACTGCCAAGGCCCCACTGGCACTCAGATTTCCTGATTCTGCATGAGTACAGGGTCCTGTCAGCATATTTTGAACTTGCTGTCCTCCCTAACCATTACCTTAGGTATTGGGGACCAAATGATTTTGGTGTAGTGCCTAAGGCATTTGACTGCTAACCAGAAGGCTGGTGGTTCAAACCCACCAGCCACTCCTCAGAAGGAAGGGTGGGCAATCTACTTCTGAAACCCAAGGAGGGGTTGCTATGAGTGGGATCCGACTCGATGGCGGTGAGTTTGATTTTTTTTTGGATGGGGAATATTAGGACTTCTACCTTTTTCTTGTTGCTTCTTTAATTGTCCCCAAAATTCTCAGTGGCTTGTGTTCCCCACTTAAAGTTTTCTGCTCCATCCTCTCTGGTGCTTTTTCCCATGTGTCACTTCTTTTCTGTCTCCTTGCTTTATCCAACAGCTACACCCATCCATCAGGAACGACCTCTATTTTCCTTCTCTGCCTCTTACCTCAAGACCCTATTCCCACCCAAGACTTACCTTTCTGTGCTGCTACCTATTTCCATGGCCACAGGTAATGCGAGTGCATTGAGCTCTAGGAATTAAGAGATCTGATTCTAGTTGCTGCCTGCCTCTGCTAACTCTGACCTTGAGCAAGTCCCTTCCTTCTCTGTGCCTCCATTTCTTCTTTAAACTGGGGTGCATTCATTCCATAAATATGGGTTTTCTGCGGGCCTACTTACTGTGTGCTAGGCAGTATGATAGGTGCTGGGGATACGGCAGTGAATAAGATGTAGCCTGGCTCTTGTTTAGGTCCCACATGAGTGCAGGAGAAAGTTTCATCGTGATGATAAAATCACATAATATACATGAAAATCCTTTGGAAAGTTCTTTACATGTTAACTGGGTTTTTAATGTCTGAGGAAGTTTTATCTCCAGTTTCCTGTGTTTTAATTAATGTTGAGTTTATTGAAGTTCTCTGTTTAAAAACTGAGTTTTTAAATATTTAAGTATAACTTATTTTTGTTCCATGTATATATCTAGAAATATTTTTATTAAAAAGAGAACATTTGTTCTTCAATTCATGTTAAGTGACAAGTTTTACAGATTAAAATTTTTAAACATTTAACTCAATATATATATCAAATTCCTTAACCATTTTGAAATATAATCTCACATTTGATGTATCTAATTCTTTAAAACATTTCAAATATCTAACTAAACTTACTTGGGAACTCTGGTAGCATAGTGCCTAAGGCACTTGACTGCTTACCAGAAGGCTGGCGGTTCAAACCCACCAGCCACTCCTTGGAAGGAAGGTTGGGCAATCCTACTTCCGTAGTGATACTGCCTTGGAAACCCAAGGAGGGGTCGCTATGAATCGGGGCCGACTTGATGGCAAACAACAACAACAACAACAACAATTAAACTTACTTACAAATCCTGAAATAAAATCTTGATAAAACACAGCTGTTGTAAATCTAATGATTTAGACTTACAAATTTAGTAAATCAAATTACCTTACACATCTCAGAACACATTCACAGCTAAGATAGCAAGCTCATTTAACATTTTAAATCTCTTCTTTAAAAAACGTTGTTGTTGTTGTTATGTGCTGTGGAGTTGGACCCGACTCATAGTGACTCCTCCTTGGGTTTCCGAGGCAGTATCACTACAGAAGTAGATTGCCCCGTCTTCCTTCTGAGGAGTGGCTGGTGGGTTTGAACCGCCAACCTTCTGGTTAGCAGTCAAGTGCCTTAGGCACTGCGCTACCACACAAAACATTGTTCCACCTCCTACTTTGGTGAGTAGCAACTTAGATCTTAAAAGCTTGCATGCAGCCATCTAGATGCAACAATGGGTCTCTCTTCATCTGGAGCAAAGAAGAATGAAGAAAACCAAAGATTCATGGACACGGATAGTCCTAGCAACTGGTACACCGTGTGATCCATGGCCTATACGACTATGAGACCAGAAGAACTAGATGGTGCCCGGCTATCACTGTCAACCACTTGAAAGGGGATCTATGTAGGAGATCCTGGATAGAGTGCAAGAACAATGTGGAACAAAGCTCAAAATCATTTGGCAAAAAAAGGTGGGGGGGACTAGGTTTGCTGGTCTGATAGAGCCTGGTGGAACCATTGACACTATGACTCTTAGCTGCTCTTCAAGTCTGGAATTGAATCCACAAGTGTGGCTTCCAGCCAAACAAAAGACAGGCATATGAGTTGAACATTTACCTGAGGTAGATGCACTCCTTGGAGAGAATAATCAGGGGAGAAAGAAGGGCTGTTTATGCACAGAGAGACAGCTCAGGAGGCAGGAGTACATGGAGGGATGGATACAGGGAAGAGGTAACAGGAGGAAGTGGGAGGGGAACTGTTGCATTGTGGTAAATTGTGATCAGTTTCATGAGATAAAGTGTATGTGAACTGCTGTATCAAAAGTGAATTTGCTCTGTAAACTTTCACCCAAATCACAAAAAAATAAGTAAAAATGAGAAAGTAACGATTTAAAAACATATTACTGCGACTTCCAGTAAGATGGCAGAACAGGCAGGCAAGCTACACAGACCCTCTTCAACAAAGAAAAGAGAAAACAATTGACAGAGATATAGAAGATAATCCTGGAGCCCTGAGCTTTGAAAGGAGCTATACAGAAGTGGATTAGCCACCAACTAGTGGAAAAACCTGAATGAAAACAGTAAGTATGGAGATGGACAGAGGTGCAGACTGTCACCTACTCTGACAGCACCTACAGCCTAAATATTTCCAAGTGGTGTTGGGACCTGAGAATTGACCTAAAGATCAGCCCTGGTCACCAAGGGCTGCAGGGATGACTGCGCTGGTGGCCTATAACTAGGAAGGGAAACAGCAAGGAGGGAGACAACCTGAGCTGTAGACTTTTGGCTGTCTGGAGGGCACAGCCATTTTGATTGTTTATAAGCGGCAGCCATTTTGGATATTCAAAGTGAGTGAGGGCACAGCCATTTGAATATTTAAAGTGACATTATTCTTATTTGGATTCCAGGACCTAAAAGTAGGCTCTGTTTGCCAAGGACGGCAGGGACATACAGGAGGCTGACAACAGGAAAGGAGACAGGTGGTGAATGTATAAGTGCTACCAACTAGCGAATAAAGGAGCATAATACCCTGCTTACATAGAGAACATCCAAAGAAAACAAAAATTGTGGGTAAGTCACCCCAAGATGCAATCACCAATTAAATATAAACACAAAAAGGTCACAATGTCTTGGAGACAACAGAGCATCACATTCCATACAAAGAAGCAAGATAAAGCAAGAGAAACAGGGACCAAGATAAAGACCCAAACACATCTGAGGAAGAAGCATCATTGGAACTCCCTGATAAGGAATTCAAAAGAATTATATTTAGGTACCTTCAATAGATTGAGAGACAGATCAAGGAAAACACTGACAAAATTCAGGAAAACACAGAGAACCCTTGAACAATTTTGAAAGACAATACAAGAACAAAATGACAAAAACTTAGAAATGATACAAAATCTACAGATAGAAATCTAGAAGATTTAATACTAAATTTTCAGAAATAGAGAACATGTTGAATGGGCAAAAGAGTAGAATTGAATCAGTAGAAGATAGGATTAGTGAGATCAAAGACAAATACCCCAATACTTCTTTGGAAAGTGATCAATCAGAAAAAAGATCAAAATAAAGAAAGCCTAAGTATCATGTGGGATACAAAGAAAATGTAGATGATTTGTTGGAAGAGAATTTCCCTGGTATGATGAAAGATGAAAATATATCAATTCAAGAAGTCCAATGAACCCTAAACAGGATAGACCCCAAAAGAAAATAACCAAGACACATCGTCATCAAACTCCAACAAAACCAAAGACAAAGAACCTTGAAAGCAGCATGAGAAAAACAAAAAGTTACCTACAAGGGGCAACCAGTAAGACTGAGGTCATATTTCTCAGCAGAAACCATGCAGGTAAGAAGATGGGATGATATATATAAAACCCTGAAAGAAAATAATTTCCAGCCAAGAATTATATACCCAGCAAAATTGTTCCTCAAATACAATGGTGAAATTAGGACATTTCCAGATAAGCAGAAATTAAGAGAATTTGTTAAAACCAGAGCAGCCTTACAAGAGATACTAAAGGGAGTCTTTTGGACAGAGAACCAACAACAGCAAACAACTGACCATTAACGCATATGATGACATGGGAGGGGAGGAAACCAACCCAGTTATGGAAGTATTCAAACTAAATAATCCTACAAGATTGTAAACAGGGAACAAGAGACATCAATTGGCAAATGAGGACAACTACATAAACCAGAGAGAAGGAAAAAATTGTGTAGTTACAGAAGTTC